GTGTGTCCCCAGCACCCAGTGCTGCCTGGCACTCAGTAGGTGCTAGGTAAACACTTGTTAAGGAAAGGACTAAAACGATTTTTAAACAGGGGAGCGAGAAAATCTGGCTCATGCTTTAAAAGACTCCCTTTGACTGCTGTGGGAAGAACAGCGCGTACATGTGTGGGCAGAGCGGGGAGATCTGGGAGGTCCAGGGAGTGGTGATGGGGCAAGAATCAGGGTGGTGGCAGTGGAGAAGAAGTCAGAATATATGAGAAAGGAGGGACATAAAATGGCAATAAAAAGAGGGATAAGGAGGCAGGGCCAGGGGAGTAAGGATGAGAAGGAGAGAAAAGTACATGACCTCTGGTTTTGATCATGGAATGGGGGTGGGAAGAATGAAGACACAGGAGGAGGAGCAAAAAGGCCAAATTAATATCTAGGATGCCTGATGGACATAGCAGGGATGACGTCCAGAAGGCAATAATAATAATTATAGTTATATAAAATTATAGTTATGGTTATAACTAGTACATGAGATCTATGCTTACATAATCCATCACATATCCCAAATATTTATTGAGAACAGCAGTGATTGCGACAGACACATCTCTGCCCTCATGAGGCTGGTAATTTTATTGACTTGAGACTGAAACTAAACAGATTAAAGAAAGAAATACACACTTTAAGGTTAGGTAGTAAGAAATCCTGGGGTGGGGAGTGTGTGTGTGTGTGTGTGTGTGTGTGTGTGTGAGATAAAATAGGGTAAGGGAGAGGAGAGGTTATGTTGGACAGAGTCTGATGTCCGGTAAAGATTATTATAAATATTTGCCTCTAGTCGGATAGAGCATGAGCCTGCAGACTCATGGGTTAGATTCCGCTCAAGGGCACATTCCCGGGTAGCTAGCTTGATCCCCAGTAGGGGGCGTGCAGCAGGCAGCCAAGCAATGATTCTTTCTCTCTCATTATTGATGTTTCTCATTATTGATGTTTGAAATCAATAAAAAAAATATTTTTTAAGAAAGAAAAGAATCCCAAAACACCAATTAGAAACATACATGTACCCCTATGTTCATAGCAGTGTTATTTACAATAGCTAAGATCTGGAAACAGCCCAAGTGCCCATCAGTAGATGAATGGATAAAAATGCTGTGGTACATTTACACAGTGGAACACTATGCAGCTGTAAATAAGGAACTCTCACGGTTTGACAGCATGAATGGACCTGGAGATTATAATGCTAAGCAAAATAAGCCAGTCAGAGAAAGGTAAATAAGGTATGATCTCAGTTATTCATGGAATCCAATAAACAGAATAAACTGATGAACAAAATAGAACCAGAGTTATGGATACACTAGAGGCCCTGTGCACGAGGGTTGGAAAGGTCCCTCAGCCCAGCTTGTGCCCTCTCGCAGTGTGGGACCCCTTGCTCCTTACTGCCTGCCTGCAGCGTAGGTGGGAGAGGCTCCCGCTACCACCACTGTGCTAGCCAGCCCTGAGCCTGGCTTCTGGTTGAGTGGTGCTCCTGCTGTGGGAGCACACTGACCACCAGGGGGCAGTCCTGCGTGTCTGCCCCCTGGTGGTCAATGTGCATGATAGCAACCAGTCATTTTCCCATCCAACGAATTGATATTATGCTTTTACTAGTGGCCTGGTACACAAAATTCATGCACAGAGCCTCCTTCTCCCTCCGGCCCTCTTTCCCCCCCCCCCCCCCCCGCAGTTCCCTCAGCCCAGCCTGCACCCTCTCCAATTGGGGACCCCTTGGAGGATGTCCAACTGCCAATTTAGGCCTGATCCCAGGGGTTGGACCTAAACCAGCAGTCAGACATCCCTCTCGCAATCGAGGACCACTGGCTCCTAACTGCTCACCTGCCTGCTTGCCTGATCGCCCCCAACTGCCTCTGCCTGCCAGCCTGATCACTCCTAACTGCCCTCCCCTGCCAGCCCAATCTTGCCCCAATGGCCCTCCCCTGCTGTCCTGATCTCGCCCCAAATGCCCTCTTCTGCTGGCCAATTTGGTTCTGATTGATCAGCTTCTATGCCAGTCAGTGTTAAAAGCTCTGCTTCCTGGGCAGTCATTGGCTCCTCACAGTTGACCCAGATTTGGTTCTGATTGGTCAGTTTTTATGCCAGTAAGTGTCAAAAGCTCCACCTCCTAGGCAGCCATTGGTTCCTCACACTTCATCCAGATTTGGTTCTGATTGGTCGGTTTTTATGCTAGTCAGCATCTCTGGGTCTATTAATGAGGCCTGATCAGAAAGGTGGGGCTGATCAGCAGGCCCGGTGGAGGCTTGGAGAGGAATGAAGGTGTGGCCGCTGCCCAGACTGGAAGAGAAAGAGAGAGGCAAGTGCTGATCAAAAGCTGCCACAGAGGCAATGGATCAGTCCCTGCTTCTCCCTTCAGGCCTCTCTCTGGCCCTGATTTGCAACCCCCTCAGCAGTCAGTGCTGGGGCACCAGGCCTGCAGCAGAAGCAGTTGGCACTGGGTTGCTGTGGCTTCTGGTTGGTTGAGCCTCAGTTGTTACTGGTTATTAGGACCCAGGGTTTTTTTATATTAAGATTATATATTAGGGGCTCAGTACATGAATTCTTGCACTTTGAAAGGAACTGTGGGCTGTGAGGCTTCAGTAGGCACAGGGGTGGGTCTCAGCCCATCCTCTGTGTCCCTGCCTGGCCCCTCCCACTGTGCTCCCAGTCTCCTGTCTGCTGGCAGCCCTTCTCCCACCACCATCACTCCCACATGCTGACAGTGCTGGCTCTGCTTGCACGTGAGCAATTGGGGCTCGTGCTGGCAGTGGATGCAAGTAGGGCCAGTGCTGCTGCTGCCCCTATTGCCCCTCAGGAGCAGGAGTGGGGTGGAGAAACCCTCAGGGGCCATCAGGGCCAGCAGCCTCCCCTGAGTGATCGGGACTGTGGCACATGGGAGCAAATAATCTTCAGTAAACAGCAGAGGCTCGCCCCAATGACAGCAACCCGCACCCTGCCTTTGTCTGGCTCCCCTGCTCACCTGCTCCAGCATCTCACAGCAGCCAACACCCGCCATGCTCCACCTACACCCCCTGGTGGTCAGCGCACATCATAGCCACCAGTTGTTCCGTTGTTTGGTTTATTGGCATATTAGCCTTTTATTATATAGGATGATGATAAGATTATTATATAGGACAGTTCAGACCAATCAGAGGGAAGTGTGGGGGAAGGTGCTAGGGGAAAAAAGAGAATAGACAAAGAACATATATGAATACCCCATGGACATAGACACAATGTGGTTACAGCCAGAGGGAAAGGAGGTCAGGGTCTGGGTGGAGGGGGACAAAGAAGGATAATGGGTGACGTCTATAATTTCAACAATTAAAAAAAAAATACCTTACCCCTAAACCTGTTTGGCTCAGTGGAATAGAGCATTGGCCTGCAGAATGAAGAGTCCCAGGTTTGATTTCGGTCAAGAGCATATACCTTGGTTGTGGCACATCCCTAGTAGGGAATGTGCAGGAGGCAGCTGATTGATGTTTTTCTTTCATCGATGTTTCAAGTTCTCTATCCCTCTCCCTTTCTCTCGGTAAAAAATCAATAAAATATATTTTTAAAAAACACCTTAATGACAGAAAGTGGGTGGTTGACTTAGTACACGTTTAGGGAAAAGATCGAGATATCGTCAAAAGTTTCCATGAGGTGGGTTTCTTTCCGGTTATACAGAAGAGGGAAACTGAGGCAGAGGGTTAACGTTATGAGTCGCCAGTGTAAGGATGAAAACTGCACTGTGAGAGAAGAAGGGACCTCAAGGTGAAAGACCTCGCTCAGAGGCCTCGAGAAACGGTCATTAATGGGGGCGGAGCCCGTGGGCCCACACAGTGACCTATGATGTCATCCGGACGTTAGATAGCGTAACATTACCTGGGCGTTGCCCCATTTTCCTTCCTAGAGAGTTCCGCTGTTGGTCAGGCACGGTCTGTATCAAGCCTCTCATTGGCTACTCACTCCGTCAATCCGTGCAATTATACCAGCCTTCCGCCCCGCCTTCCCTGATCCAGTCTCTGAGAGGTTGAAGAGGCTGTCACTTCAGAAAGGTCCGCATTCCTTCCGCCTTTCTACAGCCGACCGGTGGCGAGGAAGGCGGATCCCAGGCGGCGCCCACCCCGGGGGCTTTGCTTCCGCCTCTGATTGGCTGCTCTGGGTGCCCGTCACTACGCCACCCGGCGCTGATTGACTATCCTGCCGCCGCTCTGCGCGGCGCCGGCCCCGCCCCCGTGGTGTTTGTGGTGGGGCTGCGGAGCCGTGGATCCCGCCGGAAGCGCCAGGACAATGGGGACCCGAGACGACGAGTACGACTACCTATTCAAAGGTATGGCCGGTGGGGCACAGATGGACGAGGTGCCGGCGGCCGACAAGCGGGCCGAAGTCCCGTCTAGGCCGCTGGGCCCAGGTCGGAGCCCAGGACTTGGGGTCCGGCGGGACAGGCCCGGGCAGGCTGATCTCGACAGCTTTGGGCCGGCAGGCCTGAGGGCCCGAGGTTCCTGGGATGCGCCCCGGCAGGGCTGGAGCCCAGAGGAGGTGGGGCCCCCAGCGGTGGGAGAGGCCATTGGGGGCGAGGCCTCGGGAGGGGACGGGACCGCCCCATCTTTTGAGGACCGGACTGGGTGGAAAGCTCCAGTAGGGTGGGGGTGGGGGTGGGACCATTGGAGGCGGGGCTAGGGTGCGGTGGGCGTGTCCAAGACCTGGGCGGACGGGTGAGGGCGGTGCTCTTCACTGGGTGGGCGTGGTTAGGCTTGGTGTGAGCGCCTTTCGAGGCGTGGCCGAGGAGGGAGGCGTGGACTCTGCGGGTTGAGATGTGTGTTGGGGGACACAGACTGCGTAGAGGGGTGCCTGGCGTGTGTGTGTTTGACCCAGGCCTGGTGGTTAACAGCAATAATTATCTCTATTAACTCTTAGAACTCTTTTTTTCCCCTCAAGAGAATATATAAATCGTTTAATGATTACACATAATAGTGGGTGATGCACAAAAATTCCCATCTATAATTTTATCTGGTATGTGAGGCTTCATGAATTTGAGTGTCATCCTTTCGCAGGGGCCTTGCTAATCTCTGTCATTCCAATTTTAGTATATGTGCTGCGGAAGCAAGCACACACCTAGAACTCTTAATAGCACCACCCAAGAACCTGCACTTTTCTCAGCTCTATACACACAAGAAATCATTGAAATCCTCACCACAACCCTGTGAGGTCAGTATTATCCAGCCTCCTTTTTTTTTTTTTTTTTAATGGACCTGGAAACAGGCCCAGGGAGACAAAGACATAGTGAATAGGTGTTAGAGCAGAATTTGAAACCAGGCCATTTGTTGGCTTTACCACTTAGGGAGTGTATTTGGGGGAGCTTCTGGCCAGGATCTGGGACTAAGGTATCAGACAGCCTCCTTCAACACCGCCCGGTGATGGCTTGGGTCCAGGCCGACCTGCTGGAGGATTTTCCCAGCTGGAGGGACAGAGGGCTTTGTGAGCCTCAAGTATGGCCTCTGTAGGTCAGGCAGCCATAGCTGGCCTGCAGCCAGTTGGCAAACTCCTTCACCCTGCCCCTAGCTGAAGAGACTTGCTACATGTTGCTAGAGTCCTTCATTTCTTAGCTCAGCTAGTTTAGGGGTCACTGGCTTTATAGTGTCTTCTGTGCCAACCTGGACTTTGGCCAGGCCTCTGCTGTCCATGCTGGCTGATAGTGGCTGCCCTTGAGAGCTAACTCCTGGGCCCACACAGGGTACTTTTCAAAAAAAAAATCCTCGCTTGAGGATATTTTTCCTATTGCTTTTATTTATTTTTTAGAGAGAGAGAGGAGGGTATGGAGAAAGGATGGGATGAGAAAGAGAGAGATAGAGACACACAGAAACATCAAAGTGAGAGAGATACATTGATTGGTTGCCAGGGCTGGGGATTAAACCTGCAACTGAGGTATGTGCCCTTGATGGGAATTGAACCCACAGCCCTTCGGACCACAGGCCGATACTATAACCACTGAGCCAAACTAGCCAGGTCCACATGGGGTACATTTGCTCCGCTGCCTGCTGTGTGAGAGTCTGCCTGCCACACTAGCTGTTGGACTCTTCCTTATTGGGTGACTATCCAGCATCTTGGGGCACGTGACCTGAGAACTTCGGAGGTGTGGAGAGTGGGTGGAGCACTCCCTACCTGGGTGAGGGAGTGCCCATTGCAGAGCCCCAGAGTCTCCACGCAGCACCATGGGCTCTGGGAGTGCCTGCAGGCTGGTATGTCACTGGCAGTTGAGGCTGTGTGGTCAGCAGGCCTCAGGCCAAGGCCTTGTGCAGACTAAGCCTTGTGGTTGGTCTCACCTTAGAGGCAGGGGAAGTTCTGTCAGGGTTTGGGGACAGGTGGTCTGGACTTCAGTACTGCTACCCAGTCTGCCCTTAGGTGACTGCTCCTGGATCAAGTGGGGGCACACACCTGGCCCTGGCAGTGCCAGGGCAGGGGGCATTTCTCCTGTCACCCCCTCCACGTTTCTGTGGTCATTTGCTTGTTATTTTCAATTGTTTGCTGATATAAGTAATCCAGTTCCAAGTGTTTGCACAAACCATCTTTTGCCCTTTGGGTTATTTCCTTGAAGTGTGTTCCCAGAAGTTCAGTTACTGGGTCAGGGGCAATGGAGCAGCTGTATGTATCTGGTCCACTTCCTGGAAACTAATTCCACTTCTGTGGCACCTGGCATGGGGGGATGGTGCCCGCCTGCTCTGCTTCCCTCCTCCACTGACCTCCTTTTCTGAGTCCACAAGGTCAGGGCTCTCCAAGCTGGGGTCATCTGAGACCTCCTCTCCACACTTAAATCCTGTTGGAGGATCCCCCCCACACACACACACATACACACACCTTTATCCTTTAATGTTTGTTTTTAAATTCACCCACGTTTTCATTCTTTTTAATGGGAAAAGGAAAGTCTGTTTGGCTCTGGCAAATAAAGAAGGGAGGAGGGAAGCCGGCAGGCATGCCATAACCCCCACATAACATAAATATGGTGGGTAGACAGATACATAAATATGCTGCACACGCCGAAACCGATTTGGCTCAGTGGATAGAGCATCGGCCTGCAGGCTGAAGGGTCCAGGGTTCGATTCTGGTCAAGGGCATGTACCTTTGTTGCAGACACATCCCTGGTGGGGGATGTGCAGGAGGCAGCTGATCGATGTATCTCTCTCATCGATGTTTCTGGCTCTCTATCCCTCTCTCTTCCTCTCTGTAAAAAAATCAATAAAATATATTTAAATATATATATATGCTGCACACCTTCCCGCCTCAGCCCCTCCTGAGACCCCGTGGCCTACAAAGGGTCAGGCCTGGGCATTAGAGAGGCATCCAAGACATGACTGCATCAGAAGGGTTGACTAGGGCCAGCTTTCTCCCTGACTCTGCCACCTGGTAAAGGCCACCCTTTAGCAGAAAAGGGGACAGTCATCCTCGTACTCCCCCCAACCCTGTGCCCAACCTTCCTCAGGCTTCTGTCACCTTCCCCTGGCCCTGTCCTGGGCACAAAGGGGCCAACCTCTCACTTTGGGATGCTGGTTGCCGCCTGTCCGGCCCTCCCACCAGTCTTGTTTGTGTTGGCAGCCACATCACATGTTGGCTCTCCTGACCTCCACCCCAAGGCCAGCAGATCCTCCTGGGTATTTTCTCCACATGGTGTTTCTTTTCTTTGCTACACATTCCACTTTCCCCAGGAGTGAGGTTGTTTATTTGTACCTAATTATAGATTCTCACATTTATCCTGCCAACTGTGGGTCATTTTCCCAGCCCCATCAGTCCCTTAAGGCTCCCCTGCTTTCTCCTCTGATCCACCAGGTCGTGGTGTCTATAGTGGGAGCAGTGGTGTCCCCCAAAGGCCACCGAGGACTTTCCAGAGCCACTCACCTGGCCCATAAGGACGTGACTAATGTGGGACGCATCCCCGGTGGCCCAGGGCCCTGTCCTCTGGGCTGTTTACACCTTGTCCCGTCTATAAGCACTTTTGGGAAAGGGGCAAAGAGAGAGTGACTACCAGGGCCCGTGTTCACCTCTCTCTGCCAAGTGCTCCCAGTCAGCCTCCTGGCTCTGCCACCTGTACAGGACTCCGCCAGGCCCACTGGTCCCAGAACCAAGCACGCCGTCTTCTCCCATTGCATATGGTGGCCCTGCCAGTGCCCCAGCTTCAAACACCTCTTCTTTGTTCTCTATTTCCAGGGAACTGTCTGTGGTAAGATTGCCCCCAAGTGCTGGTCCCTGGAGCCTGGGATAATCAGGGTCTGCTTCCTGGAGGAGAGAGGGGACTCTGCTCTGCCTGAAGTTGGGGAGTGTGCTTCCCACCCAAATGGCCCTCACTTTGCTGAGCATCTGAGTGTGGGCCCTGGTGGTGCTACACTGTTATGGGCAGGCCAGAGGACCCAGGCCTTCAAGAGGTGCCAGTTCTTTATTTTTGCCAACTAGGCTTGCCTGCCTTGCCAGCCAAGTGGCGTGTCTGGGGAGGCCATTTCCTGGCCAGCATTGCCACCACCTTCTGGGGAAATGCTAGGGGTCGTGTCCACAAGGGCCCTTTATTTCCCCAAGACAATAGATCGCTTGTGCCTTTGACAGTGCCGTTCTCATTCCCACAATGTACCCAGAGCCAACCCAGCCACGGCCTTGCTGGCCATCTCTCTACAGTGGGCACCTGTGCCAGGGAGTGCCCAGGCATCCTGGCCTTTCCAACATTATATGGGCAAAGGCTAGTGGCCCTCGTCCTATTTTTAAAATATATATATTTTATTGATTTTTCACAGAGGAAGGGAGAAGGATAGAGAGCTAGAAACATCGATGAGAGAGAAACATGGACCAGCCGCCTCCCGCACACCTCCCACCGGGGATGTGCTCGCAATCAATGTACATGCCCTCGACCAGAATCGCACCCGGGACCTTTCAGTCCGCAGACTGACGCTCTATCCACTGAGCCAAACCGGTTTCAGCTCGTCCTATTCTTGCAGCCACTTTATCATTTGTTTGTTCACTCTGTCCTATGTGCAGGGCTCTGTGCCAGGGCCTGGGGAATACGCAGGGAATGAGACCATCTGATATCATACCCTTGAAGAAGACTGACGAAAAGCAAATAAGTGAAACCTGGCAAGTGTGGGAGGGTGGTAGGAGCTATGGAGGAAAGGCAGAGTGAGGGAGTGGGAGTTTTGGAGGAGAGGGGTTTTATGAGGACTGCAGGGAAGGCCTCCTTGAATGAGTAAAATCTGAGGCACCACGTGGAGGAGCTGAGGGTGGGAATCAGGCGGGCACCTGGGGAAGAACATATCAGGCAAAAGGCAGTGTGCACTTGGACATCTCTTGAGTCCTAGCGATGAGGCCCGTGTGGCAGGGGCAGAGTCAGCAAGCAGGGGAGAGGGGAGGTGAGGGCGGGGAGGGGACAGGGACAGGTCATGCAGGGCCTGTGGGTCCTAGGGAGGACTTAGGCTTTTACCCCAAGGGAGGTGGGAGCCCTGGAGATCTGTGGGCAGGAGAGGAGCAGGACCTGACTCAGGTGCTCACAAGTACCCCCTGGTGGCTGCCTGGGGAGAACAGCCTGTTGGTTAGAGATGAGAGTGAACTCAGGGGCACTGGAGGGGAGGCTGGCACTGCCATCCAGGGAAAGAAGGAGGCTGCCTGGTTACCTAGTGTTGGGGCAGAGACGGTGGTAAGCATTTGGGGGAATCTGGACATGTGCACATAACATTTTTCATCGAGGGATTTTTTCATCGAGCCGAGGGTGACCAAGCCTGCAGTGCTGATAGCTCTCACTGGGCAGATCCACACTCAGATGCCAGAGCCCAAGGCCCATTCTTGGGGGTCCATGTGGTTTCCAGCTGGGACGTATGATCTCTGCTGTGTGTTGTTCCTTCTGTGCTGCATATACACCCAGGTGTGTGTACACACACACAGACACAGTGCTCCTCCTGGGGCTGAGGCCAGCCTTCCCAGGCCTACGACCTTCCTGGATCATCTCCGGTGGCCCCACTGCTTTGCCCTGCCCTGGAGAGCTCTTGTCCTGGATGTCCCTACAGGGCGGTCCAACCCTGGGGTTGGCTGATGGGAGGGTTAGTGGGCTCTATTCCCCCTTAATTCCACGCAGAGGGCATTT